ACTGCACCACCCTTGCAAACGAATTCGAAATGTTCATTTTTCAATACTATCTCCAAATCTCCATATTTCAACCTTTGCGTTTGTTCTGCCGTCTTTGAATTATATGCATATATGGCGTATGTAATGGTCTGAGGGACCTGGGTGCTTTGTGCCTTAAGTTGTTGTGGCTGCTGTTGTTTAATCATTTATTATGATTTAAAAATAAATATTTAATCTGTTATCTCATCAGCTATTTTTTCTATTTGAAATTGCCATAATATTTCATTCATGAATTCTAAATCACAATCAAATAGGTCTGTTATTCTAAATTTAATATTTGATAAATCTTTTGAATGAAGAATAAATGAATTCCCGGATAATTGAAACGGATATGATAAAGAAAATGTGTTTAAGTTGATGGATAAAATGTTTTGTATTGATGGGTAAGAGTTGGGGTCTAATGTTTGATGTGAAAATCTCATTGGGGTATTAACTTTATCACATTTGATTAAAATGAAATTGGAACCAGTGTCAGAATACAAAACATCCCCAACATCTTTTTCAAAATTTAATATCCCCAACAATGAACGAAAATGAGGAGTATAAAATTTAATTTTCAGCGGGAATTTAATAAGGTTATTTATTTCATCAAGTTCAAAAAGTTTATCAGGTTTTGATTTAAAATTTTCTTCATACCATACGATAAATGATTCATTTAAATAACTTAAAATCATGTTAATATCCCATTTCGTTATCACATTATTTATATACATATCATACGTTTTTTCATGGTCATCTTTAATAAATGATATATAATCTGAAGGGTCTAAAAGAATGGGATTAAATTTACCACTCACAGAAACGAGAGTAACATTATAAATTCCGCTAACTGTTAAATTTAATTCACAGTTATTATTTGAAATAATATTGATAATTGACATTTTTATTACGATTAAAAATATGGTAAAGCGTTATTTTCCAGTGATAAATAAAACTAGAATAAGATTACCTCAAGAATTCATAAATTCAACGAATAAGAAATTCATTCATGTTATAAATTTTAGTGTTTTCAGAAAATATGAGTCAATGTCATATTCATCAACAGGTTATATTTCACTTCATTCAAATTTAGTTCAATCAAACCCCTATAATGACCATTTCATAAGATTTTCAGATGGTATTAAAAATGTAATTGATAGATTAAAATATGAACAGATTGACAATATCGAATTTTTGGAATTTTGGTTTAAATATCCTGATGGAAAAAAGATTGAAGTTAAAGATAAAGCTGATACTATAACAAAAACAATTACAATGACCGATCCAGATAGTGGGGAACAAAAAGAAATAAAACAAACGATAGAAACTGGTGAAAGGTCAATTATTATTGATTATGATTCAAAGGATTATTATTCGATAATGTTAATGCTTGAATATTAAATAGTCTTAACAAAGAATTTTTCAAGTGATATTTTATATTCATCAACTATTTTATTATAAATATCATTATATGTTAAATGAAGTTCAGTTGTTGTTCCGTTCTTTGATATCTTAATTGTGCTAATATCCTTTATAGGATTTATTTTTGCAACTGTTCCGCAGCATGAAACCTCATCATCTATGAAAAATTGAATCTTAACGTCTGAATCTTGAACATCACAAAGAATGGCAATAATGTGAATTAATGATTCATAAGGTAAAATAATTAAACCAGATTGGTCAATTAAATTTATTATTGAATCATAATTATTAATTATTATATCACGGTAAATTTTCATTAATTCTGAATTAATGTCTATTTTATATGGCGCATTGCGACTGGAATCGTAGATTCCTGGGTTCTCGATGTTTGATGAAAGAGGCGGGGGGTATGTTGGATAAGTGGGAATTTCAACAGGTTCTTTACCGGGTTCAGATAAAATGATTGGGTCTCCATTCTCATGGTTTTCTTCATTCTCCTCATTCTTCGGTAAGTCACGAGTTAATAAATTGGACTGTGTTGCTGACCTTGTTAATTCAGGACTAACATTAACTTTAACATTTTGAATAATTCGTGATTTATCATCATTCACGTTATAACCAACCGTAATCTCTGCTTTTGCGTTTGTGTTCTTTTGACTTGTGAAACGTCTTCTCATTTATAATTGAATAAAAAAAAGAAAAATATATTTAAAGTTTTATTTAGTTGTTACGGTAATATCCCAAGGTTCATCCTTGTTTGCTTATACTTTCTTTGTAACTGCACCAATTATGTTATTGATAATGATTTGAGTTTCTTCCAGTCTTATTTTATCATTTACAATATCTTTAATCATTTCATTACATGCATTCTTAAAACCATCTGATTTTTCTAATTTACGTCTATCACTTTCTTTAATTAAATCAAAGTTATAACCTTGTTGAGAATAAAGTGGTTTCTTTATCAATTCCTTGAACGCTTCTGAAAGTGAAGATGAAGAAATTCTTGCCACTTGAATTGGTTTAAATTCTGCTTTCATTGCTTCTTTCTGTTCATTGAACACTGGATCGAATAAAGCAACTTTAAAGAATTTCTTAGCTGGAATTTCAGGTCTCAAATTTGCATATTGACCATCAAACTGGTTAGAATATCGTGGTAATCCATCCGGTCCCTCTTCAATAGCATTTAATTCTTCATTGAAATAAGAATATGGATTATGACGGTATGAAAGAATTGGTCCATCTTTACTGTCTCCGATATGTTGTTTAACAGCTTTTCCATTTTCATCAAATTTTATAGTATAATGTTCATTATATGCTTTACGTTTAGGATAATCAGCTATCGTTAATTTATAACCATTTATGACTTTAATATTACCTTGACCATCAGTAACGAAAACTTCATTTATACCATCGGGTTTTCCATTTGGACCCGTAATGTCTTCTTCGTGTGCTTCCTAATTTGGTCCATGACGTTTGGCATATGCTTGAGCTTCTGGTAATGTTAAAACGTTTCTCATTTGTTTAACATCCTTTTGAAGACCGGCAACAATGTGGACTAATTCTTTCATTCCGTCTGGAACTTTCATAGTTCTATTATATGCACCCTTTTTGTTTGTCCCTTGTTTTAATGGAACCTGTAGAAGATTTGCTATTTCTGTCATGTTTAATTATAAATAAAAAATAAAAATTAATTATAAAAAGTTAATCAAATTTAACACTTCCTTTATTTAAATCAACTATTATTTTTCCATGTTCTCCTAATTGTTGATATTGTGTGTAAAGTTCATTAATGCTCATTGGTAAATTCACTTGATAAAGCATAACGTTCAACTGTTGACGACTAAAACCACTGAAAATAAAAAGGGTGGACAGGTTTGATTTAATGTTTGTGCTTAATGCTTTGAAGTATTGAACAGCCATGAAGAATGAACACTGAATGTGTCGACATTGAGTTAATAACTGATTAAAATATGATTTCTCATTAGTTATTAGTTTTGATTTCACGGCATCATCTAGAAAAATTAGTGAATGCAAAAATTCTCTATCAAAATTTGAAATAGAAAGTGTTTCAAATAATTCATCCCGTTGTTTATCAATAATTTTATCCTCTAATCCTTGCTTCTTGATTGTATTATATAATTCTTTATACATTAAAAAGTTTTTTAAATAATCTTCTGCTTCTTCTTGTGATAAATAAATAATTGGAATTTTGATTAAATGCTTTAAAGATTCAAATGTATCATCTGAAGGTGAACCTGAACGGTTGATATAAATTAACACGTGTGAATGGGGGGAAGTGTTAGCAATAATGATAATTTGTTTTAATATCGTTAATGTTTTACCTTTATTTTGTTTACCAATTGCTGCAGTGATTGAATTTAAGTAACATTCAGAATATGGAATTTTCATTAATTTTTCCTTAGAGAGAGCATTTCTATTATCACTCAATGCTTCATTAATCATATCATCTATGTAGGTATTATATACTCCTGCTAATTCTTCATAAGGGGTGGATGAATTTAAATCCATTTAATCAAAAATAAATTTATAATTTTAAACATTTCTATTCATCAATATTTCATCATATGAACTTCTATACTGTGGTGGTGTACCTGTTGGATGATATTTCAAACCTTCATCCGGTGTCCATGTCCAATATGTAGTCCTAGTAAACCAAACCTGAGGAGGATTTGTCACCTTTGAACAGTAAGTGTCATTTTCACCCTGAATGATTGGATAAGCTTTCACTTGTACTGTAACTTGTGAATTGAAAGTTTCTAATCCATCAAAGAATATACCCGCTCCATCACGTTGAACTGGAATAGTGCATAAGAATGAAGTTTGGTCTTTCCATGTTCTAGCTAATGGCGTGCCATTATCATCATTCAGTGGTCTAGTTAATGAGTCCTCGTATTCTTCCGTGCATTCATTCACTCCATCTAAATCAGAAGCTTGAAGCATACGTGTAAAGAATATATCACCCACTGTGGTCATCGCTTGATCGGGGAAGTTTCTGGAATCTATAGTGACCTGAAGACCTCGAAGCATTGGATTTTCTAAAACCGTTCTTTGCATTGCATTCTTCGGAAATGTTAACACAACATCTGTAACATTATGAAGAGCGTATGAGAAATCTGAGCTAATACCTTCAGGAGTGATGCAACCTCCATTTAGTGAACGAACATCAATATGTTGAGCTGGAATCATGAATGGATCTTCCTTACTGAATAAACGTGGTATTGCTTTAACTGATTCTTCAATTAAACCATATCCTGGTGTAATGCATTTATCCTCTAAAACTTCCATCTTTGTGCATGAAATAATAACGTCCTCAACTGTTGCGTCAGCAGATGTAGCGGCTAAGCTTGTAATTAATTTGGTAGGAAGTCCGATTTGTTGGAATTTGCGATCATATTTATAAACATGATTCATAATCTTTTCATAATTTTCATCAGTTATCTTTTCATAAACGTAATTTTGTAAATCAGCAACTCTTAACGGGTCAACCTGACAAAATACTAAAGTATCCCTGAAAACATAATATTTAAGAATGATATCACCAAATGATTTAGGATAATCATCGAACGCCTGAAATGCTAACAAATCATTTACCGGAATAATCATATCAAAAGTGACATCAACTTCTTCATTTGCTCTCTTGAAAACTTCTGAAGGGTCAATATATTTACCACATACTGAGTTATCATATTTTTGAACATTATTATATAACGAATGAACAAACTTTTTAACTTTCCTTTCTGATTTTGGTTTATATGTTGCAAATGCGAAAGATTCACGGGCGCAATCCATCTGAAGATAACCGGCATCACCTCTTTCGGTTTCTACTTCTAATTGTTTAAAGCTTTGATTTGATGATTTGTAACCAACGAATAAACGCATGCATTTAAAAACGGCATCACATGTGAAAGCTTTATTTGAAACTAGAGTTGCTTTAACTTTGCGTTTAATATATGTGTCACCTAATTGGTTCACATCATGAGCCGGATTTGTAATTCTTAAATGAGTTTGTTTATCATCAAAATATGGAGCATCAGAGTCATAGCATGAACTTTCAAGTTCTCTATAATATCTTCTACCGTCATTCTTTGCGAATATTTCATTTATCTTTTCGAATGAATGAAATACATTTCCATTAATCGGTTTAGTGTTTGGCACCAAATAGTTAGTCGTCATTTATTATGAAATAAAAAATCAAAATTAAAAGATGAAAATGAATTTTTAATTTTAATGAAATAATCAACTATGGCTGCAGGTATATTTAAGAAACTGTGGGATAAAGTAAAAAGAGGAGCGCATAAAGTTTGGGAAACAATGAAGAAAGGAGCAAATTGGATATTTAAGAATAAAGAAGCAATTAGTGACGTTGCTGAATCAATAACACCAAAAGCCGCCCCAATAAGAGAAATATTAAATAAAGGAGAAAAAGTTTATCAAAGACTTCAACCGATACTAAGATAAAAATAATATTTATTTATTTTTCCACTATCTACCTCCTATTTTATTAAGTATTCCTTCAGCTATTCCACCAATTGCGTTACCTGCTTGTGCTCCCATCGCCGGATTACCTGCTTTAGTACCTAATACTCCACCTATGATAGTTCCTGCCGTTTTCGCTACTGGTGCCAAAAAGTTTGCAATGGGTTTAATAATCTTTTGATGAACCCAACCCGCAGCTTTCTTAATTCCTTCCCATAATTTTTTAAAGAATCCTGCAGCCATTTCTGATTTAATATTAATTAAAAAATATATTTCATCACTTATATTCTAATTTTTATTTAATGATAAATGAAACCAATTTTAAAAATAAATGAAAGTGAAAATGTTCAACAAAAAATAAACGTTGTTAAACCAATTACTGAAATAAAAATTTTTTCATCTGTTGAAGAATTTAATGACTATTATGCTAATAATAAAAAATTATTTGAAGAATTGACAACGTGTAAATTGAATAAAATGTTTAAAGTTGATGGATTCAAAATTTCAAAAATAAAAGGAGTGGTTAGTTTGAAATCTATTCCTCAATCAAGAATCACCTCATTAATGAAAATAGATGATTTAACAAAAAGAATAGAAATTATTGAAGAGCGAATAAATCAAATTATTGATTTCATAAATCATGACTCGTTGAGCCCGGGTCCTTAAAGCCCATCAAATATTTCATTATTAAATGCAACTTCTGCTAGTTTATTTGGATGATATGTAAATTCATGAAATTCTTTGGCCTCGGTTTTGATCATTAATTTACAAAGAACTTTTGTGGTTGGAATTCGTTTGAACCATTTATTAGTTATATTCGTTATATATTCAATATCTGGAATTAATTTATTATCAAATGCAAAAGCAATGGGTTTAATATTATGTTTACCTTTATAATATAAACATCTACTTGTTTAACATTTTCAAGAATTGGTGAAAGAGCATCCATTAATTGATTGACGGTTACGAATCTTGATCCACTCATTTCTTACGAAATAAAAAATAAATTATTCAAAATGTATGACTTCATTGATTCCATTCAGTTATTCAACAATTTTTTTAATCCCACTATGTATGGGTTGAGTGTAAACGTAAGAATAAAAACCGTAAGAATCATATATTTTTTAATTCATATGTTAAAAAAAATGATACAAAATCGTTCAATATTGTATGAATTCTTACGGTTACAAAAAAAGTCACTAAACCCTTCATCATATACTACTGACCTAAGAATTACATCGTTCGGAATTTTAAATATATAAATCATCTAGTTACTGTATTTATTATTGATATCATGAGCAATTTCTTCGGAATTTTGACTTTTAATATTTATGCCAGATAAAAAGTTTTACAAATATGCATTAAAATTGTTCTATATGTAGCTTGAATAAATTATAAAGCATTTAACCATTAAATTGATACTATTTTGCAATTTGACAGATACTGAATTTGATAAAATCAAAACTATTAAATGAATTTTACTTAGGAATTATACTTGATATTTTTTTGCTTTTTTTTAGTTTAATAAATTTGAAAAGTACTCTAAAAAAGAACACTTCCTTGTGGTTCGATATACTTGTTATAATTATTGCATTTAAAAATTTCGTGTTGAAACGGCTTATTTCAAATTACTGAAATTTTTTGTCATTCAATTAATTGTAAATAATGCTCGGATTCTTCTTCGCCATTTATGTTCGATCAGAAATGGCGCTTGACTATGTTTCCCAGACATATATGGTGACCAACTAGGTTATGCAGATATACAATATACCTTCAATGGTAAACCAATACCAATAACATACGTATTCACTGGTATTAAGGTACAAATCCGAGTGGATAATCAAATATATAAGCCAGTTAATAAATCTACTGAACTAAATGGACCATTAGCTTTTCATATGGAAATTGATAGCCTAACTGGAAATGACGGATATTTGCTATTCATAATCCAAAATAAGAACACTACGCATCCCAAGACATTTTCTCTTGGTGCATGCATGAACATTGGTTTTCTTGATAATTTGTATGATAATACCATAACACCTTTTGATAGCAAACCTGAATCGGGAACAATATCTCCAGGAATATACAATTATTATATCGATTCTAATTTAGAGCCATATCGACAATTAGCCGAATCGAATGGTCATAAAGATTATATGAAAATGGTTTTTGATCATTTACCTTGGTCAAAAAGCTTCACAGATAAGAGATACATAAAACCAGATAGATTTTGGTACGGAAATTATAGAGATGGATACAATGACTTTTTCCAACAGATGCCAGATGACAAAAAAATTCAAGTAAAAGATAGCAAAACAGTTGATGTAGGCACTGGTTTTTCATGTAACAATATTGAGATACCAGCCGACGGAACAAAAATCCTTGCCACACACATTTATGCGATCATGGAGAAACCGCTTGACATCATGGCAGAAAAACAACTTGTTACTCATAAAGTCGGTGAAAAAATTAATATTACAGTATGGATGAGACTTACAGATAATTCAAAGAGGTATGACTTTGGATGTATTAATACAAATGATGAAAATGACAAAGTATATTTAACAAATAAGCAAATTAATTGGAGAAACGATCGTGCTACGCTCTCACTGCCTCAAAAGAGTGAAGCAGGAGATTATTATTATAAATGCTATATTCAAGAGCATGACAAACCTGACACTAGATCAAACGAAATTACAGTCCATGCTACAGTTTCACAGCCTCCAGATCTTGTTTTTAATTCAGAAGGCAATCCTCAACAAGACGCAACATTTAATCAAACCGATAATATAAATCTGAAATATACTCTTACAGCATATGGCAATGTAACAGTATATGCAGATTGTTATAAGAAAAATGCTGAATATAAGATTGATTCTGTTTCGAAATTTATTCAAACACAATCAACTAATAGAATCTCTATTAAAGATACAATATCTTTCCCAGTTTCTAAAATCCAATCATCTGGACAGTATACTCTTCGAGTCTATGCCAAAAACAGTATGGAGAATCCCTCGGCGATATACAGTTACAACTTCATTATGGATTGGACTACATATGTCTCCAATATTGAAATTTCTCCAACAAAACTTGCCCCAGGTGAATCATTTACAATCACTGGTCAGTTCAAAGATCAAGATCAAGCTCAAAAGATTACATTCTATACAACAGTTGGACAGCAATTCCATTCAGATGAATATACTCAAACAGGAAGTTCTCAAACCTTTACAATCAATGCTAAAGTACCAGAAAACTTCAACACAGAAGGTAATCAGCAGTTTGAGTTAAATGCAAAAGATAGGGCAGATAATTATGTCTACAGAGGTCATTATAACTTATCAATCAATAAGAAACCAGTTCTCACTCTCAAACCATTAAAGCTCTCATCAACTGAAGTAACAGAATACTCAAGTGACGAATTGCTCCAATTAAATGTAACAGTTAGTGATTTCGGACAAGGTAAGATCAACTCCTATATTCCTGGTACATCCGTCTCAGGATACATTGGATACAATCCAACAGCAGGTTCAACACAAGCAATTACTCTTGCAGTAAATCTTAACGATGTTCCATATAGAGCAGCAGCTTACACAATATTTGTTAAGGCTCAAGATGATTATGGATTGCCTTCTAATGAAGAAACGCACCAATTTATAATTCGCAATAAACCAAATATTGTCAGGATTGAAAACTTCCCAGAACGTGTTAAACCAAAAGACGATATTCAATTCAAAGTAGTCTTCACTGATAAAGATGCAGAGAAGGAATTATTCTTAATGGCACAAATTGATGGTCAAAGAATTCAAAGAATCAGTTCCGAAGAGATTAAAGCTCCAGGACCAGGCGTTGAATCTACTGCCAACATTAACTATTACCAAAAACTCTCATCAGGAACACACACAATTGTTTTCTTCCTTTCATCAAGCCAAAATCAAGATTCAGGATTATCTCCATCTGCAAATTCAAACAATATCACAAAGACACTCCATGTTTCAAAGGCACCAGAATTCAAGATCCTAAACACAGGTGCAATTTATGCTGGAGCTGGCGAGAGAATAGAGATCAAGCTCAGTATTAATGATGATGGCCAAGGTAAGATCGGATATGATCTTGATGGAAGAACAGATTTCGATACAGCTGGTTTGAAGACAACTTATACCTCAAACAAAGACTGGACTTTAGTACCTGAAAACTTCTTTACAGTCCCACAATGGTGTGAATATAATAACGGCAATCCTCACGTTATTAACATCAATGTCAAAGATTCATATGATATGCCAGCAGAACAGAACCCACAAAAATTGAGTTTCAGAGTAATTAATACACCAAATCTTGTTGATATTAATTCGAATGTTACAAAACTCAAAAGTGATACTGCAGAATTAAGAACAGTTCGTCTCACAGCCAGATTCAAAGATTTGGATAAAGGAAAGGAACTTTATTTCTTTGTCAAAGAAGGCAAAGAAACAGAAGATCGATTCGTTCAACCAGCACATCACATGCAATCTGCAGGAGGTCCAGACTATCAAACAGTTTCATTTGATTATGAAATTCAAACAACAGTATCAAATGAGAATCTCAAGTTAGTCGCCTGGATCGATGATGATAATGATCCAGCATCAGGCCATGCTAATGGTGTATCAAACAAGCAGAGTGCTACAGTTAGCATCTCTGAATCACCAAGCATCGAATCAGCTTGCCCAACAGGTGAATTTGGTTATAATGACAAATTCAATATTAACTATGTTGTTAGAGATGATGGATCCGGTGGTGTTAGATTCTGGTTGGATGACGAGAAGATTGGAGAAGATATTCCATACTCAACAGATGCCACAACCAAATTATCCAAATCTTATAATTATGAGATACAAATTACAAAGCATATGACATTAGGTGAACATAATATTTCATACTATCCAGTTGATTCCTTCGGCAATGAAGCACCTCTTTCCAAGAGAAAGATTTGCCCATTCATCTATAAGTCTAAGCCAAAGCTGAAAAATGTTATGTTGAATGCCACACAAATTGATGATGATGAAATCGTCATTGTCAATGGTACATTGGAAGACTATGATAATTCAAAGAAACTTTACATTTATCAGCAAATCGATACTCAAACACCAATCCTTATTGGTGAGGCTATTTCGAATTCTGGAGAACAATTTTTCCAATTCCCATTACAAAATCTCGTTTCCCAGCCATCTGGACATAAGACCATTTATATCTTTGCTGCAGACCAAAATACTTCAACTACATTTGAGGGTAATTCGAAGTCAGATCCTGTAGGCATTCCACTTACATTTGTAAATGATCCAATGTTCACTGTTGAAGTTCCAAACGGACACATCTACCCAACTGATGAAGAATTCCCAATAATTGTTAACATTACAACAGATCTACCATGCACTCTAACAATTAAAAACTATTATGACGAATATACCTATAACTTCACGAAACCAACAGTACACAAGCAAAATATCTCAATTAAAGCTTCGTATACTAATTATTTTGTATTCACCCTCACAGGACCAAACTTTACAAAACCATTAACACATCGTGAAACTTTTATTATCAAGACTCATCTTGAAATTAGATCAGTTAAACCTGAACACGCAGCAGCAACAAAAGAGGGAGTAACATTCACTTTTGATGTTGCCTACAGTGGATGGAGTGTTTACTCTCTGTACTACGTTGCATGTTACACATATAATAATAAGGAATATATTAATGTTCAGAAGAGGGCTGTTGATTGGTATACTAATGAGTATGATGTCACATTCCCAATTGATATTGGTACAGAAAAGGAAGTCACCGTCACATTATGGGTTTAGTATGGAAGTAATTTATCATATCCTCCAGAAAGATTTTATAGATCTATAAATAACGTTACTGCAACAGTTATCTTAACAGAACCTCCGAAAATTGATGTTGACTTCCCAGAAAGTTACTATTTTGCATCAGATGCTGAAATAAGGGTTCGTGTTAAAGCAGAAGATGAAGACACATTCAATGTTTCAGTTCTTGTTAATGATATTATTGTATCTGGACCTCAAACATACAAGAAGAAGCTTGATGTATATATTCCATTTACAACTGGAACTAAATCATATTACTCACCAAATACATACGGTTACAGTAAGATGAAAGTTGTTGTAACTGATAAGCATGGTATTTCCTCTGAGAGAGAGAAGAAGTTTATGACTTTGAACTCTCCTTACATCACTGGTCTCGAATTGGATAAGAATCTTTTCATTGATGGTGAAAAGATTAAAGGCAATGTCACATTCAATGACAGAGATCATGATAAGCTGCTCTTCCTCTTCTACAAGGTTGGTCCAACAATCATACCAATTGATCTTGAGATCAAATCAGATGGCTCAAATGGACAATTCAAAGAGTTCGAATTTTACCCACAATTAAACTTCGTTTCAAACGCAGTCGTTGCTGAATTCTTCCTTGCTTCAATGGCGAAATTGGATGATTATGTAAATGAAGACGGATCATTCACAGAACCTTTGATGTTCTCTAAAACTGTTAAGAAGCCATTAAAGAAGACATTTAAGCCTTCATTCACTTTGGACGATCTTCCAAAGTTTTATTACGAGCCAGATGAAGATATTATAGTGTCTGGAACGATCGCAGCAGATGGATATGCCACGATTTATTTGATGATGTACAATCTCATGACATGGGAAGCTGATGAGGTTGATAAAATCACCTTTGATGGTTGCACTCAGGAGCCAAAGAAGTTCACTGGAGAAAGATTCGAAGTTCACTTGAAATACGATAGAAATGCATATGGATTCTATGTTATATGCGAAGATGGAAATGGTTACCAGGATGATTACATGCCAGCATTTGCAATTTTGATAAGGAGTCCAATCTCAATTACCAATGTTGTTCCAAAGAAGGTAACATATTTCAACAAGGATACATTTGATGCAACATTAACATGTAAACAAAATGATGAAGGAAGAACCTTATATGTCTATTACAGAATTAATGACGGTGAAATTCTGTTATTCAGACCAGACTACGATACATCGAAGACAAGAACTATTTCAATTGATATCAGTTGTAAAATACCTTACAGTGCCGTTGGAGACACAAAGATTGAACTTGCTATCTCAGATAAGTTCACATATTCTTGGGGTACAGGATACACAATTGGTGTTCCACCAGAATTCTCCACGATATTCACAACATCATTCAGAGTCAGTCCTCCACCAGTTTTCACTGCAACATTAACAAATGATTATCTCTACAAGCGTGGAGATGAAGCAATCTTCTCTATTTACATTGTTGATGATGAGACTGTCACACTCAAGTACATCTTCGATGGTCTTACAATTGATTCTGAAGAAATTGCATTATATGGTTCACAATTCGAAAACAAGAGATCTCTTACAATTCCAAGCACTGCAACTTATGGATCACACAGAATCAAAGTTGTCGTTGAAGATAACTTCGGATTCTCAATGTCATCTACCGATGAAATTATTCTTGTTGTCAACAAGCCAACTCTTAATTCCATTGAGTTCTCAAAGCCATACGGTATCAAAGGATCACCAATCACATTGAGCGGTGCTTTCTATGATATTGATGCTGATAAGCAAATCTACATCTACGTACAATTTGGTGACAAGAAACCAGCTAAATATTCTACCAAGATTACATCAAATGGAAAGGGCGACCAGACATTCAGCTTCGGTTTGGATATCAATGATGAAATTCCATATGGAATGAATGATGTCAAGGTATGGATCTCATCTTCTTATGAAGTCGACAAAGAGAACCACGCATACTACTCATCATATCCTAAGTTTGCCAAGTTGTCAGTCACATTCCAGCCAACAATGACTGTTAAAATACCATCAAAGACTGTCTACCAGGACGGAGAAAAGATCACAATCGCTGGTGAAGTCAATTCATACACTGATGTCAACCTCAAGTACTCCATTGATACAACTAAACTCACTGAAGTATCATCAGTCAAGATGGACAGTACTCCACAACAATTCAGATTCTCCATCACAATTCCAGAAGGATTCAAGCAAGGCACATACACATTTGGTGTGTATGCAGTTGATTCCCATGGATTGGAGACAGAATAGACAACATTCAAGTTCAGCATCCAGAACCCACCAAAGATCATCGGAGCTAATGTTGTCAATGAAATTGTCAAACAAGGTGAAGTTCTCCATTTCAGAGCTACAGTTCGCGATTTAGATTCAGGTGACGACCTCAAGATCTTCCACGCAATCGATACTGCAGATCCAACAGTCCTTATGACACTCCGCTCTAACGGTAAGGATATGTCTTACACATTCTCAATCAACATCGCTAAGGATTTGGCTATCGGTGAACATACAATTTCCCTTTACCTTGAAGACCCAGAGAAATTGAAGTCAACACCAGTTGTTCTCGGATTCACAGTCAAAACAACAGTTGACAACCATCCAAGCGGTGGAAACGAGACAACTGACAGCGCCAAGGATGCCTCTGCTAATACAAAGACAGCAGGAGTTGGAAACTGGCTCTACATCGCAATCGGAATTGCCGGATTCGTATTGCTTGTCCTCATTGTCTTGCTCACTGTCTTATTGATAAAGAAGAGACACCCATCTGCAGCAAGAGAAGATAGTCCAAGCTCAGGCAGTGATTTGGAAGAAAGAGAAACACAAATCAGTCAAAACACAGCATCTACAGTTAACATGGATGAAGTCGCAACGCATGATAATCCATTATTCAACTCACGCGAAATTACCCACGATAATGATCCATTCTCAGATGAATTTGAGGAACAAGATGAAATGTAAATTCGTCTGATTTAAAATACATAGTAAAAACGGGTTTATATTTTTTTATATAAAATGCAAAATCGTTTGCAAGCATTCAAATTTTCAGAACTTTTAACGTTCTTGAAAATTAGAATTTGCAAACGATTAAAGAAATTATTTGCAATTTGGCCGTAGGCAAGCTCCGTCCAAATTGCAAATAATTTTTTAAATTGTTTTTTCAAATTTAATCCAAACATTGGAGTTCTTCTCCTTATAACCAAAACAAAAATATGGCAATGTGTAAAGGATTGTGTATTTCAACAATCAATTTCAAGATTTATTATGAGCAATCAATTTGATTCTGCATGTATTGATACTGCTTCGGGGAGTCTGTTTCAATGATATATGAAAGATTACATTATAATTAGTTCCATCGACTGATTTCAGATCTTCATGGTTTTACAGGCATAATCTGTAAGTTTTTAAACTTTATTAATGCAGAATCCATATTGTTTGATAAAATAATGAGTAATTTTGGTGGTATTTCATCATTTTAAAAGGCCATATTTGAATCTTATTTTATATTTCAGATAAAATATCAAAATAATGATTTAGAATGCTGATTTGAGTTAAAATGTAAAGAATAGTAATGTAATAATTATTGAAGAAACAAACAATTGTAGTTGAATAAAAAAATCACAAAATACATGATAAAATGATACTTAATCGGTCATGCTTACTATCATCCGATTAAATATGGTCATAATATGTACAAATAAATAAAAATAATCTTGTCATAAAAATTAAAATTGGACATTTGGAGGCAATTTCTCAACAAGTGCTAGGAGATCAATCTTCTTATCGAACACTTGTGATTTCGGCTTGTTCGCTGCGCAAAGTTTCTTTGGCAAGGAAATTGGCGAATCGTACTCAGCCGAAGACCTCTGTCTCTTCTGGATCTTGCTTCTGAAAATTGCCCTCATATCTTTGTTCTCAAGTGTTCTGGAAAGTAATTTGTAAGCAATCGTGGCAGAATCGGAATTTTCATTGTGGAGCTTAACGAGGAGTCCCTTTGTATCAATGCTGATGTTCTCTAACTGATTGCGGACTATTTGGTCAATGGATTCTGATTCAAGGCATTCCAAGAAATCTTTAACGATATTGTAGTCAGTTATTGAGAACCATTGATGCTCCTTGATCTGTTCTAGGGATATCCTGGCATTCTGGTTCTTGTTAAGCATCTTTGTAAGTAAATCTTTCAATTGTGGGGAAACATTAGCATTAAATGTAACATTTTCTTTGAGAATCTTATGGAAGAGCTCCTTCTGGTTGCTGGCATCAAAAGGAAGCTTGCCATTGACCATGGCATAAAGGACTACGCCCAATGACCAGATGTCAGACTTCGTTGAGTATGGATGACCTTGGATAATTTCGGGAGCTAAGTATGATGGAGAGCCACAAATGGTATGGAACTCTGGTTGGTTCTCAAAATCTTTGGAGATTCCAAAATCTGTGAGCCGAATGTTGTAAAAGCTATCAAAAAGAATATTCTCAAGCTTGATATCTCTATGAGCTATTTTCTTAACGTTATGTAAGTATTCGACAGCAATTAATAATTGAATAAAGTATCTGCGAGCGAGTTGTTCGATTATTGGACCGTTTTTGTTGATGTGCTGAAGTAAAGTACCATTTTCACTGTATTCTATGATTAAATAGTAATTTGAATCATCCTCGTAATATCCAAACATTTGTGAGATCAAAGGATGAAGTAATTTCATGTGTAGATGTAATTCTCGTTGTATACGAGTGATGTCATCCGGTGATTGGAACTTCGTTTTGTTGAGAACTTTAATAGCAACGCGATTTCCAGATTGCGAATGAATTCCTATATGTACAGTACTGAAGAGGCTCTTACTGATTTCTTCTCGGATTTCAAAATCACCTATGGTAGAGGGAATGTTAGTCATATAATTGTGAGAAAAAAAATTGTGATAATTACAAAACCTCTTTTCTATAAGAAAAGATTATGATCATCAAATTGGTAGATTATGGATATATAAGAAAATAGCCATTGTTTATATATTTCAGTGTGTATTCAAAACTTCTTTTCTATTTAACTAAGAAAAAATTGGATATTCAGCATCAGTATACTATAACTAAGAATATATCGATGGATGTGATTAAATTGAATAAAAAATTAGAATGAAAATTTATTATCAGAATCATAAATAGATAACAAAAATAAATTAAATAAATATGGCCAAGGATCATTCAAATTCAAGTCAGCTTTGAATTTTTTTGAAAACAGTGGACGGATAAATAATAAATTGAAAATGTATTAGGAGATAATTGTATACTATTTTAAAAAAATGATCGATTTGAAAAAAATGGAGAAAATGCGTTAATTCGATTTTATTGTATTTTGATTATCATATGAATGGTAAATGCAAATGATTAAAAAAGAGGTTTAACATTTGGGGGCGTTAAATTTGCATTTGTGTATGCTGCTTTAAGTGTGTTTTTCGAAATTGATCTAAATTCACACTTCATTTCATCCTCGTATGGAACGAACAGAGAATGTTCGACACTGATAACATAAACGATAACATAAACGATAACATTAACGATGAATTAACGAACAGAACATTCGCTGTTCGTTAATGTTATCGTTATGACCCAAAAAATAAATTTAGGTGAAGAGGTGAGATCTCACCTGTTTTTTCACCTCTTTTTTCACAAGCGTTTTACATGAATTGTACGATGTATATTTGAAATCCTAAATAATTTCGTAGCTTCCATTTCTTCGCTGAGGATATCAAAAGTTTTAACAATGCCGAAAGTTTCTTTATACTTCTTCTTGACGTCAGACAGAAGGAAATCATCGGCTATGGGATAGTTTTTATTAAGAAATGTCAACATATCCATTTTATCTTCTGCTGGCTTTTCTGCTTCTTTCTTTAAGTCTGCATAGTCGTTTCGCATTCTTTCTATCTCTTTGACTGAGTAGTTATATTTCCTCATTGCTGCTTTACATTTAGAACATTGCGGATTCATTTTTGCGTTATACATTGAAACATTACCAGCTAGAACAACTAAGGCGTCAATGGTTTTCTTTAACTCAAAAGCTGCTGGTTTTATCAGTTCGTTCCATACTTTGCCTCTTCTATCTTCATCTCTTATCTGCCATACACATTTTGCAACTAATGTAACAAAGTTATCGTATGTCTTAAATTCTTCGGATTTGTAAAGGTCAGAAATATTTTTATAAACCATGTCGCAATCTTTGTCCATAACTTTATGGTTGCAATGATATCCTAGGAATTCATAGTTTACCTTTCGTATGAACTTCTTTATTTCTACTGAGTCAGTTGGTTTCACTTCTATTTCATCGAATTCATGAATAGTGAGCTTTTGTTGTTGGATTTCAGGCAATTTGGGTAAATGGTCAATAATGTCCTGCATGTCATAAAGATATTCTTCATTTTCTTCATCCTGTGCGGTACAGTCTAAATTACTTGTTAACAGTTCTTGCTTAATTTTTTGGATTTCTGTTTCAAAAGTATATGAAGAAGGAATAAAGCTTTTCATCTCTACCAACATTGACGTAGGATTCATGACTAACGAGTTTGGTGCTGTTGTGGACAGAGTCCTGCCGTTCGCAGCTTGAATTGTTGTTGTGCCGATTGTTGAAATCATATCTTTTATACAAAATAAAAAAATAAATAAAAATAAAACTAACTTTATTTTTTCTATCTTAAGGAAATTCATGAAAATTCACGAGACCCAAAGGGTCTGAGCCGCTAAGCGGTGAGGGTGAAAAAACAGGTGAAAAAAGAGGTGAGATCTCACCTCTTCACCTAAACATTATTTTTGGTGTAAATAAATGGTACCATTAATGATTTCATGACTGTTCTCATTCATGTCTGATTTACATCCAACGAAAAAGTTTAGAAGAACTTTCTTATTCTTTCTGGCATATTTTTGTCTTTCCAGTACTCCCGCTCTAATGGACCCAGATGTGTTGGCTTCGACTCTCTCAAGTTCTTAGATGGTATAACATCTTCAATGCCTCCTTCATATCTTACTTTATAAGTGTCATCGTTTGTGTTATAGCCAAGTATTTCAATAACCACTCCTCGCTTTGCTTCGTCAATGGTTTCAGCAAGTTTGCCATTACTACTTTCAACTAATTTATGTCGAGGGTAAAATGCAATGGAGTCGTCAGCAGCTTTTATAAGATATCCATTACCTTGCGAAGAGTCTACGATATAATAGTTTCTACTTAACCTTAAACGTTTCTTTGTCAACGGTTTGTCGTCAAGAACTACACGAACTTTTGTACCAGGAATGAGGGTAAATTGTGTTGAATTTCTGATATTTTGTGTTTGGCTTCGTTTCTTTTGTATATACTTTTCTTCTTGTTGTTGTGTCATTGAATTTGGTGTATGTCCTGTTGTAGAATGTGTTGAGGAATTATATACTTCGAGAAAATGTTTCATTGTTTCTTCGGTAAAGTCTCGCTCTTGATTTAAATCTCTGAGAGTCCTTATGAAGCGGTTTATGATGCCGAGTATGTTATGGTTATGGTCTTCAGTAGTGTAGTGAGTTATGTTATGCTTAATGAGAAAATCTGTGATTTCATTACTGAGGTATGCACCGTCTTGGTCTGATGTTAATGAAGTGGGATGATGTTCTGCCACGAACGTCTGCAAAACTCTTAAAACTTCATGAGTTCCTTTATTCCTCATTGGATATGCAAAAGCTTTACGAGTGTTAACATTAATGAAGATGAGGAATGGTTTATGTCCTCCTTTTCTGCTTTGAATGAGAGTGTCAAATTGGTATGCGTCAGGAGTGTTGGAGTAAATTGGTAAAAAGTAGTCGTAAGGGTTTATTTTTGTTTGATGTACAACATTTTTGTCAAAGAACCTTTTTCACTTCAGCTCTGTTAGTAAATCCCCAACTCTTTGCAGCTTCATTGAACTTCTTAAATGACCTCCATGGATGTTGTTCGAATACTTCTTTCAAGCTCATTTATGTAAAGTTAAAGATTTTATTCTAGGCTCAAGCGCGTTCAATGAACGCGGTACCATGCGAATACAGTCACAAATGGTGGCATATAATCTGCACCCGAGCCTGTTGGATTTGTTGTGAAAGTGTGTGAATGATTACCTCCCGGTTCAGTTGGTCGAAAAATCTTTTTTGCTGCATTGTTATAAGATGGAGATAAAACGTCATTGCCAGCTTCATACTCTGAGTTGTATAATGGGTGGTCTCTTAATGAGTGGCTATGGTCACCAGAAAAGTTTGTCGTTCCTGTATGAGTGTGTGGGGGTAAGTTTGCTTCTTTAATTTTCTTTGAGCCTCCTGTTTGCTTTGAAGAGTTAGCACAGTATAAGAATTTGTCTACAATCTGCTTCCACGTACCAAAACCTAAAACTGTTTCTGGATTTGTTGAATTCATTGACGTATAAATAGAACCAACAGGATATATGGTTTGAAGAATCTGGGCCTTCATTGTTAGAAGTTCATGTTTAACGTTTATAACTTTATTGCCATCTACAATATTTATATTGTTTGTTATTAAACCATTAGGAAAAGTAGGAGGATAAATTCTTTGTTCTTGTACAGTTGCACCGTTTCTTCCTGTTTTTGTTACTATTTCGATGCATGCCTTAATTTCTTTAATCTTGATTGTTTGAAATTCTTCATGTGTATGGTTCTTGTCGGCTTTCTTGTCTAACATTGTTGGTAGTGTGTATGCTTCAAAGTTTCTGACATATTGATCATTGTTCCTGCAATAGTTATCTAAATTGTTTAGTGTATCTTTTACGCTTGTACTCGGATTCTCTGAAGGTGCGCTTGAACCGAGAGTATAGTTCAATATTACATCGTCTGCTCTAATAGTAGTGAAGGATTCGTTTGTATGGTTCTTGTCGGCTTTACTGTCTAATGTAGCTTGAAGTTTATTTATATCGGGGATGTTGTGTTTATGAGATTTCAAAACTTTGTTCATTGCTTCGAGTTCAACTTTGTCAGCTTTACTTTTAATAGCATCTTCAAACGTTATTTTTGATTTAACTCTCAACGTAAATTTTGGTTCAACTAATACACCGTTAACATTGAAAGTAGAGGCATAAATTTCACCGGTATAACCAAATGCTTCTGGTGCTTTAGCTACATCATACTGTACAGTACAGCTTATGTCATAACCTTTAGCACGAATGTATTTATATCTTCTTTCATTAACATTTTTTGTCTTCGCTTCATCACTTCGTGTTAAATATCCATGGTAGTCCGTTATAATCTGTTCGTCTGAAGTTATATAATGAACGTGGTTCTTGACTTTATCACTCAGAGCTAAAAGCTCATTTTTGTCTGCTTTTTCGGCTAATTTTTCATTAACATCATTCACTTCTAATTCAACTCTTCCGCCAGAACTCTTATTATCATTAATCTTTTTCATTAATTCGGTAATTACGTCATAAAGACTATATTCTGTTTTCGGTTTTGTAAATAATGAGTCAAAATTTCTTTTCATCATTACATCGCTGACATTAATGATATCACCAATTCCTTTTTCATTTATTCTCTTCATTAATTCTGCAATAATGATGAATATATAATCTGTTAATTTATTCTCTTCATCGAGGGTTATAGAATGTTTTGAAATTGAATCATTAACTCCTCTAAATAAATCAATAACTTCAGGATACACGTTTTTAATGTCTCGAATAACCCGACCAGTATCCTGTTGTTCATGTTCTCCGTTCCCGTCGTTACGTGGTTTTATATCTCTAACCATCATCAACGCAGCCATAACCGGAGGGTTTGTTGCTATCTGTTCGAAAATCCGTCCGTTATGTACGGTATATCTAAATAATTTCTTTGTGTTTGTCAAAACGTTTGAAACAAGTCTTTTAAAACCATCGACAAAATTTCCCGTTTCACCTAATGTTCTTGCAGCATTTACAAGCTCACTCATTCCCGCTTTTGACCCCAAAAACGTCCATATTGCGTTTATTTCACTCTGTATTGTTGTCCATTCGGCAAAATTAATACCTGCATTCGCTAAGCTGAAAATGAAATTCAGTGGATCGAACTTAATTCCACCTTCTTTTTCAATTTCAACGAACTCACTAACATGAGATTTTAAGTATTCTTTCGTTAAAATCGTTTTCCCCGATGTTATGTCATTAACGAAACTATCACCGTCAAAAGTTAACGAATTCAATTTCGTCGTTGATGCTTTTATTTCATACACCGCTTTATCGATAGTTTTTGGCTCACCTTCTTTAGAAGCATATGAAACATTAATGAATGAATTATATGTATTCATGAATGAGTTAAAATCAATGATTTTCATTAATGAAGCCTTTAATGATTCATTAACTGTCGAATCCCTTAAAGTAATTAATGAACTGTCATTTATGAAAGGTACTTTGCAAACCGTCGAGTTTGGATCAAATGCTGTAGTTGGTGCAGGAATATTAATGATATAAGTCATTAAATCATTAAGTGACGTAAATAATGTTGTCGTTTTTGATTTAATTTCTTTAGCATCTGTTATATACGGTAATTTTATTTCTGTAGTTTCTGAATTAAAGATATTCGCTAAAATGTTTTGTAAACTGTTTTGAACAGCTGTGTAAACCGTTGAATCCGGAACTCTTACGATTTCACCGTCCTTAATAAAAGGCATTGCACATGGTGTAGTGCTTGGGTCAAATCTTTCGGGATTATGATTCAACATATATTCTAATGCTTCATGAACAGACTTATATACTGTTGTGTCGTTCTTCATGACAACTTCACCATTTACAATGAATGGCATAGTACATGGAGTTAAAATAGGGTCAAACTTTTCATAGTCCTTCCATGTTATGTATTTCTCGGTATTTCCATCACTGATAACAATATATTTGTCAGTAATTGTGAGAGAGTATTGACCAAAATATAAACATTTAGCTCTATCAGCTTCATACGCATAAGCGGCTATAGTCATATTTTAATGAGAATAAAATGTTGTTCTATTTACAAAGTACAGACCCGAACGAATACGGAACAGTAAAGTTACAAACTAACTTAGGACTACAGAATGAGGCACTTGCTTTCAGAATGGTTGACTTCAATACTATCGCAGCTTTTGTCATAACTGACGAAACAGATTTCATGGAGCTTGAAATAGATGGAAAGAAGCATGAAATAAGATTTCACAATAATGTAGAATATAAGATGGAAACATTAGCTGGAGTGTTAAATGCTCTCATAAATACTACAATAAACAAGGATAACAAAGAAAACTTAATGAATGTTAAACTTATTGCGGGAGTTTTGAAGTTCAATTCTGCGAAGGAGTTTAAGATACCAAGAATGAGTCATAGAGTACAACTTCTTTTGGGTGCATACCATATGACATTTCCTTTGAAAAGTGTTGACAAAACGATTGAAATGAAATCTGTTCCATACGTATGTTATGGCAATTGTTTGTACATTGAGTCTAAAATAGCTAATGTCACAGGTATTTCGGGAGTTAATAGTAAAGGTTCAGTTGAATATAAGTCTTTCTGTTATGCAGTCAATTCAATGTTCATTCCAAACGTTCCTGTCATAGCAACTCATTTAGGTAAATGGGTTCGCATTAGTCCTCATAATTTGAAAGACATGCAATTCAGACTTGTTGACTTTCAAGGAGAGCCTGTAGAACTGAAGGCACCAGTGCGAATGACTGTTGAAGTTGACTTTTTAGAAAATATTAAATGCAACGGCTTACAAGAGAACTCAGAGCTAAAAATATAAAGTATGAATGTTATATTTTAGGTCATGAACTTTGGTTGTTGCTGTTTGATGAAACAAATGAGTTAGTTATGTCGGTCAAGAGAACAGAAAAAAGTACCAAAGGCACAGAGCGCAAAGCACTATATTGTGTTAGTGAAAACTGCACCAAGTCAATAAGATTAGGTTTGCATTACGAAGATGAGTTCGATACTGTTGAAGAAGTTTTGGACAGATATTACAAATTGCTTTAATTTACTAAAACATATTTCAAACAAAGTTTATAGTCGGTAGATAGTTTTGTATATTCATTCGAATATTTATACTTAAACTCAACTCCTGGAGTTCCTGGTATTTCAATGATGCGGATGTTACCTATTTTCATGAATGGTGGCGTTTGACCACAGCATTCGATTTCAGGGTCGAGATAGTCAATGACACATTGTTTCCCTGTTATTCGTGAGATAACATTTTCAAGGTCCTCCTTTGTTAGAATTATTTGGTTCTTGCTTATAAGATTTGTCAAAAGCTTCTTATCGTCTTTGAGTAAAATTGTTTGGTATAACTGAAGAAGGTAATGGTCTACGTTATCTGAAGGATTTGTTTGAACATTTGTGTAAGGGTTGTCGTTGGCTTCTCTTGAAAGAATTTGGTCCAGTGGTGGATACTCTAACTTAACGTCTGATGTAGCGTTAGCGTTTGAAGCTGAGTTTAAATTCACGGATTTCAGCTCTGGTTCTGGTTCTTTCAAACACTCTGAACTATAGTTCTTTATGACAATATTGTTTGTCGTTCGTGAGTCAACATTTGATGTTGGTTCAATTGGAACATTAACGGCACCAGCTAAGATGGATTTGCTTCTCATTTCATATAGAATAAAAACCTTTTATATGTATGAAATGAACAATATACTCGACAAGGGTTTGAATGTAAAGCTAACGAATGAAAATATTGTTGAATTCACTGAGACAGGTGCTGTGTATAAAGATGTAGAACTACTGAACAAAAGAGCTAAGGGAAGAAGCAGGAACATGAACAAAGGGTGGAAGCCTATAAAAATTTATGTCAATGATGGCTCAGGAGGTTCAAACATAAAGTATGCAGAAAGTTATAGAGTTTATGCTCTCAAAGGTGAAAAGCCTTCATTTAAGAACAGCTATTCTAACGCATATCCTCAAAAGCTAACGGATGGGGAAGTGGATGATATGAATGACAGCAAAAATATTAACAGAAATGGCGACAGAGATGCATGGAATTTGTTTACCATCAGTCAATTGAAGGTTAAACTTTAAAACAATGTTGGTTTCCCATGGAATATTTTTGACTTTAATGGTATTAGTCATGATATGAATCTCAAGGTATGAACGAGGAGAGATGAGAGACTTATATGCTTCCCAAATTTCTTCAAAAGGTAATGTTATACCTGACTGTTTCCAAATGAGTTCAATATCATAACGTGAGAAACCTTGAAAGATAACGAAGTCAGTTATGAGACGTTTTATGTTTAAAGCTAAAAACCTCCATGTTTGCATAAGTATTGCTACAGTTAAGTGGTAATGTCTGACTTTAGTAATGATGTTAGCTAATGGTGAGTCTGGTTTTGACACTAAACCTTTACCAGCGAAATCATCACAAACGAGCAGAGTGTTTGAAGGATATTTTTTGAAGGGGTATTTTGAAAGTTTTGACAGAATGTAGTTTGTAAGTCGTTTCATATCGTAAACTCCTGAGTATTGACGTAAGTGGTGTTTGTCAATAATTCTTTCCATCTCCTCAGAAGTCTTTTGCATTCCTGACTGTATAAATTCAACGATGGCATAATATTTCCTCTTACGTCGAATGTAACGTTGAAGAAATTCAATGAGTTCACTGTCTGGAACTTTAACGACAGAGGCTTGAACTTTTGACATAAATGTTTTCGCTGTTGAGTCCATAGAGTCTGAAGTTGCTGATATAATGATTTGGTCATAGTAAGAGTCGTTTCCTAAACGCTCTGTTATGAGTATATGACGAATGAGGTTAAATGTCTTACCTGAACCCATCTTTCCACAATAGAAATACACACCATTTGAACAGAACTCATAGTCCTTACTGAAAGGAAGAATGAGAGAACTGTTGAGCTTTTCACTGCTTTCATTCATGTCTTCATCTACGTCATGTATTAAATGCTTCATTTTATCTCCATTAAAAATGCAAGTCAGAAATATTCAGAACATAGCACCGAGTCTAACTGACAAGAGTATAAAGATATACTATGAACATGTTATGATGAAACCAACCAAAATTCAAGAAAGTCAGTATACTTATGAATATCCAAGACACTGGGTAGAGTATGTAGAGGTGAGAAAGCTATTGAAATCAGACAGGTTCGAAGTATTCCAGCAGGAAGAACAATATTATTGAAGAACTTTAATGTTTTGAGATATAATGATGAAACAAAGAAGCAAGATAGTTTCCCTGTTGCTGTGTATGTGAACTTAGATACAGGAGATGACATGAAAGTTTTCAACACAAAGCTTCAAACGGTAGTGAGAGAACAACTGACTGCGGAAGGGCATCCATTACCTTCAGAAGTTACCATAGCATATAATTTTGAAACAAACTCAATAGATTTTAAAGTCATCTCTGCAAAGAAGTCAGGTTTTACATTTAATGAAGCAGATGTCTATTCGAATGAAAACTTCAAAGCTATTGCATGGTTAGATAATGACGATTGCTTTAAGAAAATATTTAAATACAGTGACTCAACGATGTCAATAGATGACCTTCGTGGAATGTTACCATCGACGTTTACAGTAGAAGGTTCAGCAGGATTGCTTACAAGATTGTCAATTGGTGGTATTTGGTCTCGTGAGAACATTGTTATAAAATCCAGTATAAGTGAATTTGCTGAAGAATCTATATTATGTCTTTCAAACTACATGTATTCGCCGCCGAAGCATTATAGTATAACAAACTTTGTCAGTAAGTTTAACATAAGACTTGTCGAACCTTCTTCAATGAAAGATGTTGTGCTACCTAAAGATGGAAAGGATGGACTCATTATTGAAATGATTTTAATTGCATATTAAATGAGCTTGTTCTTGAAGGTCATTCATGATGAAATAACTGTTGTAGAAGATGTTAGCAATTGTTCAGACATTTTGAAGCGTATAGATGATATAAGAAAGAAGTTTATGAATGAGAACGCTTATGTTTCATTGACTTTCTCCAGTAACGAGAACTTTTATGAGATAATATTGAAGAGAGATGATTTTAATATGGGGTAAATGGTAGCTTGGGCAGCTTTAGGCGCAATGGGAACAAAAGCATTAGCATTTGGAGCAAAAGCACTTGGAGCTTATGACGCAGTAAATAAAATGAGTGGAGGAAGAGTTTCGAAGACATTAGATGCAAATAAAGGAAAGATTGGAGGCTGGGTTGCAAAGAAGTTAAGATTAAATAAAATAGGGCTCATAAATAAAGCATCCAATTTGGTTGCGACTGAGTCAGAAAATGCTTTAGGAAAGGACGATGAGTTTGCAAAACACGCAAAAGACTTTAATGACCAGATGAAAGGTGAAACAATGCATTTAAATAGATTCGATGGAACTAAAGAAAATGTTTCTTCTCCACCAGTAGTTCTTCCGTATGGTCCCTATGGAATGTATGGAAACCCTTATGAACGACCATTTGACCCATTGACTGGTGGAAGTAACTGGTATCATTACGGCCGAAGAAGAAAGACAATCAAGTTGGAGACGGACGTAAAGAAAGCAACTAAAAAGAAACCAAGGAAGAGAGTTATAAAGCAATGAATTCAACAGGGTGAAAAACCGGGTGAGAAAACGGGTGAGATTTCATCACTTCACCTAAATTTATTTTTGTGCTATGTTTTCATACGTGTGAGGGTGGTGATATCATTAATTTTTAAGTTTATTTTTATATAAATGTGGGAACAAAAATAAAGCATATCTACTCAACAGGAATGAGACCCTTACTGACTATGTATTCGTTTAATGCTTGATGAAAACAATGGTACATATTATCGTATGGGTATACATAACGTCTGTTTCCATCGTCGTCGTATATGTAGAGCTCAAATCCAGTCCAACCTTCTTTTGTACAATATGTAGCTTTATTTAAGTATGCATTTATGTAGATAAGGCAATTTTCTTCATCGCTCCAGAAATAATTTTTCGTCATTGTTGAAATAGTTTTCGTTCCTCTACGTCCATAAGGAATGTATGC